TTAATATACACGAAAATTGGGGAATTTGGGCAATTTTTTAAAAAAGGTTTGTAAAAGAGAAAATTGGCGTTAAAAAAATGGTGTGAGTAAATGTGAACGATCCCAACTCATTACAGAGGTCCTCATTAGTTTTTGAGATTTTGTTTGGGCGGTTCGGGTGCCAAATCCATGGGCTAATACACACGAAAAATTTAAAAATTGGACGATTCCTACAAAAAAGCATGTAAATGCGAAAATAGGCGTTAAAATGGTGTGAGTATACGTGAAGGTTCTCCAACTCATTACAGAGGTCCTTATAAAAAAGAATTAGAAAAATATTTTGGGTGCTCCAACCCAGATCCATGGGCTAATACAAACGAAAAATTGGAGAATTTGGTCAATTTTTAAAAAGGTTCTTGTAAATATGGATGTGGGCGTTAAAAAAATGGTGTGAGTATACGTGAAGGTTCCCCAACTCATTACAAAGGTCCTCATAAAGTTTTTTGAGAAAAATTTTTTAGGTGCTCTGGGCACCAGATCCATGGGCTAATACACACGAAAAATATGGAAATTTGGGAGATTCTTAAAAAGGGCTTGTAAATTCAAAAATGAATGTTAAAAATGGTGTGAGTATACATGAATGTTCCCCAACTCACTACGGAGGTAATCATAATATTTTTTGACAAAAATATTTTGGGTGCTCAGGACGCCAGATCCATAGGCATTATACATACGAAAAATTGGAGAATTTGGGTGATTCTTTAAAAAAGGTTTGAAAATGCGAAAATGGGCGTTAAAAATGGTGTGAGGATTCCTCAACTAATTACGAAGGTCCTCATAAAGATTTTTGAGAAAAAAAATTTAGGTGCTCTGGGCGCCAGATCCATGGGGTAATACACACGAAAAAGGGAGATTCTTAAAAAAGAATTTGTAAATTCAGAAACGAGCGTTAAAAATGGTGTAAGTATACATGAAGGTTTCCCAACTCATTACGGAGGTCCACATAAAGTTTTTTGAGGAAAAAAATTGGGTGCTTCGGGCACCAAATCCATGGCTATAGTTCATGAATTTTTGGTGATTCGGGATTTCGACTTGATTTTGGCTGAACTTTTTCATGAACATCCGTTAAGACCTGAGTAATGGAGCCAGTTTGTCTCGAGGGTCAAACTAGTGCATTTTCAAGTTCAAACGAGCCCCAAAGCTAGTAAACCTAGATTTTGCTGATTTCTGTGTGCTATGATCCATGGATATTTGGTAATCGAGGATTCTAGCTTGTTTTTGTCCGAAATTTTTCATGGACGTCCGTAAAGACCTTAGTAATGGAGTTAGTTGGTCTCGAGGGGAAAATGAGTGCATTTTCTAGTTTAAATGATCCCCAAAGCAAAGCCCAGATTTTGCCAATTTTTGTGTGCTATAGTCAATGGAATTTTGGTGATCCGGGATTCTGACTTGTTTTTTGCCAAAAAATTTCATGGACGTCTGTTAAGACTTAAGTAATGGACCCAGTTGGTCCCGAGGGGTAAACGGGTGCATTTTCATGTTCAAACGAGTCCAAAAGCAGGTAAACCCAGATTTTGTTGATTTTCGTATGCGATAGTCCATGGATTTTTTGTTATTCAGGATTTTTGCTTGTTTTTGGTTGAATTTTTTCATGGACGTCCGTTAAGAATTTAATAATTGAGCCAGTTGGTCCCGAGGGGTCAACGAGCGCATTTTTAAGTTCAAACGACCCCCAAAGCAGGTAAACCCAGATTTTGTCAATTTTTGTGTGCTATAGTCCATGGATTGTTGGTGATTCAGGATTCCAGCTTGTTTTTAGCCGAATTTTTTTTGTGTACGTCCGCTAAGACCTTAGTAATGGCGCGAGTTGGTCCCTAGCGGTAAATAGGTGCATTTTAAGTCAAACGAACCCCCAAGCAGGTAAAACCAGATTTTACTGATTTTCGTGTGCTATAGTCCATGAATTTTTTTGTGATTCGAGATTCTTGCTTGTTTTTGGCTGAAATCTTTCATAGACGTCTGTTAAGACTTCAGTAATGGAGCCAGTTGGTCCCGAGGGGCAAATGGGCAACGATCTCCAAAGTAGCTAAAATCATATTTTACTAATTTTCGTGTGCTATATAGTCCATGAATTTTTGGTGATTCGATATTTCGGCTTATTTTTGGCCGAAATTTTTCAAGTTCAAACGAGCCCCAAAGCAGGTAAACCCAGATTTTACAATTTTTCGTGTGCTATAGTCCATGGATTTTTTGTGATCCGAGATTTCAGTTTGTTTTTGACAAATTTTTTCATGAACTTCTGTTAAGACCTTAGTATGGAGCCAGTTGGTTCAGAGTGGAAAACATGCGCATTTTCAAGTTCAAACAATCCCCAAAGCAGGTAAACACATATTTTATCGATTTTCGTGTGCTATAGTCCATGAATTTTTGGTGATTCAGGATTTCAACTTGTTTTTTACCGAAATTTTTCATGGACGTCACTATATCTAGAAAATATCTCATTTTCTAATACTTCTCTTTGAGATTATGCTTGGATACTTCAAATTTCTCCTTGGGAAGAGTCTTGGTAATGATATATGCAATCTGTTGATTTGAGCAACAATGAACAAGTTTAACTTCGCCATCATTTTCTGCTTGTCTGATAGTGTGAAACTTCATATTTGTATGCTTGATATGATCATGTTGCACTGATTTTTTGGTTATAGATATTGTTGACTTGTTGTCAACCTTAATGACAATAGCTTCAATGTCATTTTTTCTCAAAAATCACAAAGATTTTTTCTTAACCATAAAGCCTGGTTAGTTGTATCACCACTGGCGATATATTCTTTTTCTGAAAAAGATTGAGCTACCACCTCTTGCTTCTTTGAATTCCATGAGAACATGTCTGAATGAAGTGTAAAAGCATATCCAGAAGTGTTTTTCATATCATCAACACTTCCTACCCAATCACTATCCGAATAAACCATCAATTGCCCTTGCTCTTCCTTTTTAAACAAAACATTGTTGGGGTTTTAAATGCTGTGAATGGAAAATGAAGAGTTGCGACTTTTATGAAAAGTTGCGAATTTTATGAAAAGCTGCGACTTTTATGAAGTGTTGTGACTTTTATGAAGAATTGCGACTTTTTCGTAGGGTTGTGACTTTTATGAAGGGTTATGACTTTTGACTTTTGCAAAGGATTGTGACATTTTCACAAGGCACAATAAGCATTTGTTCATACTATCATTTGTTGTCTATAAATAAAAGTGTTTCCTCGTATTTTTCAACAATTAATTTTCTGAACTTCTTATTCTGCACAAACAAATTCTAGTGTATTTTACTGCCTTTGAATGGTTCGCCGACACCGTAGTTTTAAGTACCAATACACCGGTGAATAAGATCGTTCTATCTTGGAGGGATATATTTCATTAACTTCAGTTACTTGAGGAGAATAATATCCTTAAGGAAACAATGTGCATTCAGTAGACTTGATTTTCTTCTTTGAGAAAATATTTTCTATATGATTTCTGATTTGTTTCAGATTCTATTTTTTTTATTGGCTTTAAGTTTCTTGTTTTGAAGATATTCGTTAAACATTGTTGTTTCTTACCAAGTTGTTTAAAGTCGTTGTTCTAATTTCTAAGTATCTTAGTAATACAAATTAATGACAAATACAATAATTAGTAGTTCCCTTGATATACCTCAAGTTCGCTTAGCGACACCGAGATGAACTTGACTTGGAACATGCCTAAATCTCGACATAAGGGGATCGCCTATTTGCTTGAGAGTTACTCATTGTTCAACACGAGCAGAACAATTTTGGAATTTCCAAAAGATACAGAGCATCAGGAAACAGAATGAATTGGGATTTTTTTGAGTTGTTGGAATTTTTTTGGTGGTACATATCAGAAGTAAAATTCTAACCAAGCTGGATTGGTACATAAGTAAGCAATAAAATTCTCGGAGGTTATGCGTTAACATTAGGCTAAGTATCGATGATCCTTTGTTTTGCTAGTGGTTCTTGTACGTATCAAGTACAGTTTGAGGCACCTACAACTTCAAAACAATTTATCTTACTAAGTTTAATACGATGAGTTCTAAAATATTCATCGACAAACTAGTATTGCTCTAGCAAAATTATAAAAAGAAAATTTCAGATTAATACAATAGAACCTCTGAGTAAAATAACCTCTCTAAATTCTATGCATTTCTATAGTTATATTTGTTGATGTGAAGGGCAAAACTGAAGCTCGGCACATGGGACAATCTTTTTTCCTTGGCAACCATTGTTTGATGCAACCTACATGATATTCATGTCCGCATCGTAGAGTCCCTACGGTCTCTTCCTGCTCAAATTCCGAGTGACATATGGCACAAATCTCTTCAGTTTCCGTTGAATTATTCACTTCGTCTTTAAGCACAACAACCTGATGAGTTCTTGTTTTAATCCATTCTATCGGATCATCCCTATTGACATTATAATTTGGCGGATTTCTCAAATTTTGATCGTCTGACTTCAAGTGTCTTTTCACTGAATAACGATCACTCAAGTTAGTAATATTAATTCCATCCATGATTATGATTGGAGCAGCAGAATTAATTACCAACTTATAATAAGTTTTGAGTGACAATTAATTATTTATAGAAATGCCTGGTGAGTCATATATTTCCTACTTCAACAATAAGTTGTATTCCTATTTGTTTTGGAATGGGATTTATTTTTATTGAGCCGTTAGTTATTCCATTTATGGTATTATTTGTTAAATGGGCTTAAATCCTATTCCTAAAGAAATTAGGAGAACTAAATAAATTAAGAAACTTTATTTTCTTTCAAGGTTTCAGCGTTAAGTTTCCAAACTTTGTTTCCGCGTTAAGTTTTTTTAGAAAATATGGTAAGGCATCGAGTTAAGTTATTATAAAACTCTGTTTTCTGATAGTTCTGCTCTGTTTGTTTTACTCTGTTCTTTTCAAAAATCGATAAAATCGTTATATTCTGTTCCTTCAGTACTCAGAAATCCCAACATTGTTTCTGTTGAACAATGAGTAACTATCATTCTTCTCCAGATTATCATCAATATTCGCAATTTATGTTTGTGAATTCGCGTAGAATTGGAATTAGAAGTAGGCGAGATCGTTCTTCCAGAAGAAGACAACACGATCATCCCTTCGTTTTGGGATTACAAGCCATAATTACTCCTCACAGTAACTCTCACACTGGCGGAATTACAAATATTAACGTCAGCAGTCGTGATTTAGTGGAAAGGGCCTTAAGGCAGCAGCATGTACCAGACTATTTCAATGGCGGATCATCACCAAATTCTTCAGATGATTCTCAACCAGCAAGTGAACTGATTGATGATCAACAGGAGGATGATATATTATTGGGGTATTTTAAAACAAGAATTCATTGTGTTGCTGACGGAGTAAATAATCCCACAGAAACAAAAGAGATTTGTGCCATATGTCAAGCGGAATTTGAGCATGAAGAGTCCATTGGGACACTTGGGTGTGGACACGAATATCATACAGGCTGCATCAAACAATGGTTGTTGAGGAAAAACGATTGTCCCATGTGTCGAGCTTCTGTTTTGCCTTGAAATACATAGTAGCATTTAGAGATTATTTTATTCAGAAATTCTGTAGTAGTAATCTGAAGTTTTGATAGATACTTGTTTATGTGTTCTGTAAAACTCATCTCATATACGACATTGGGTCAATTACCACAAAAGGGAATATACCTAACTTTTGCCATATACGACATTGAAGGCAAGAAGTGACTTCAATTTTGCTTTTATTAATTTGGTCGTTTATCTTTCAGAGAGCAGGGCATACTGCTCCAAATTTGGGCACAAGAAGAATGTCTTGCTATCAGGGGCGGATCCAGGGTATCAGGTAGGGGTTCCCGAGAACCTGGTAACTTGCTATAAAGTCATTTTTTTTAGATTTTATTAATCGGGGATGAAAATTCTAAGACTAGATACTTTTCGAGACATCACGCATCATTCCCTTAACAAGTATCCCAAATTTTCATATAGAAATTTCTCACAATTAATATGCAGAATGAGAACATTATAGTGTTTAAATGCACCAAAGTTTGTTCCTTAGAAACAACAATGATACCCTTACCAAACATCATCAACAACAACAAACGCAGTGTAATCTCACAAGTGAGGTCTAAGAAAGATAGTGTGTACGCCAATCTTACCCCTACCTTGGGGGAGGTAGAGAGGCTCAACAACTAGAAGATAGAAACAGATAAACATCAAGTAAGAAAACTGACAGACTAATAATATTTGTCTAATAACAAATGACTGGATATCAGTTTCAGGAACATGTAGGAATTTATTAATAAGGGACAAACTACAATAAAACCAAGCCAGCATTAACAAGTTCGAAATCGATCCACATTGTTGAAGGCTCAACCTTGGTAACTACTCGATTCCCAACAGCACTTTTATGTCCCTCTGCAACAAGAGCATGAACTCATAAGGCAAATCATCTTATATAGAAAAGTTGCATAGAGTATTAACTCAAAAACGTTACCTCCATTGAGAGAGGAGATGTGGTAGGATAATAGCGATCAGAAACTTGGCCATTCTTATCAACGAGGAACTTAGCGAAATTCCACTGAATATTATCCCCAACTAATCCCCACTTTGCTGATTTCAAGAACTTATAAAAGGGAGATGTGTTTTCGCCATTCACTTCAATCTAGTTCAAGAAAGATACACACTTGTGAATACAAAGATACCATGAGCTCTAAGGGAAGAAGTAATCCAGACGCAATAGTATCCCTTAAGAATGCAACTTTGATGTTCATAGTTAACAGAAGATGCCAACAAATTTATTGAGAATAATCTAATTGATGGAAAAACCGCAACTTCCAAAATATTCTACCAAAATATTAAACATTTAACTCACGTGTATATGCAGGGAGAGAAGATGTATATTTAAAAGAAGGAACACAATACCAAGTAAATCACCATTTTTTTTTTATAATGCAAGAAAATAAAAAATTAGTAGTTGAAACAATAGTAACATCTATGAGGATTCTTGTTGTTTCATTACCTTGTCAAAGATGGGGAACTCTGACTTGAAACGCGTACAAGCAAATTCTACGATCTCATCGTTGCTCCCTGGTTCTTGCGCACCAAATTGATTGCAAGGAAATGCCAATATTTCCAGACCTACATTTAAATACCAAAGAAAGAGAGATGTGAATTGTGAAGGCAGTTTTAGTGATACTCAAACCATAATAATGTGATGATTTTGAAACTTTGGTTCAAACACTAGCCTTTTTCTTCTTCTTTATTGATAGAGGAATTTAATTTGTTATGAGACAATCATTAATGACAGCAATAATAATGAAAAGAAAGACCATACAATTTAATGTGGGGAACTCTCAAGGGGAAGGAAACTCACGGCCAGTCACCAACTCTTGTTATTTCTCAGTGAAAGATGATACAAATACACCGAGTAACCAATGTTTATAATAGGCTGCGAAAAATCTCAATCCTAGACTATTTAGGATGTGCTCCAAACAATTTTTATAAGAAACCTATAGACTATTTAAAAAATAGACTGCGAAAAAACCGCTGCAAGAGCAAAATGGTTACTTGACGCATACCTTGATCTTTGTACTTCTCATGTAAATGGTTGAGATCTTTGTAGTTTGAATCAGTCAAACCGCTGTGGACAGCAAGACAGATAACACTTGAATTTCTTTTTTTTCCATAATAAGTCGGATAACAGTTGAAGAATTCAATGAAGTGAGATATTATATGAATCATAGAACGTGTAAAAGAAAAAACATTTCTTAGAGTTATGATTTTCATCTGGGACAAAGGTTGCTTCTTTCCCTGGAAATCATACAACTGATAAATATGATGGGTGGAAATAGATGATTTTACCATTTGGACGCAACATTCACGATAAGTAGGACCTTTCCTTTGTAGGTACTAAGATCAACATCATTTCCCTTTGCATCCTGAGAGCAAAGGAAACAGTATGCTCAGAAAAGGGAACAAGATACAAGTAAACGAAGCATTTCATTGTGGTCACTTGTAACAAAAATGTCTGATCCTCCAAAAATAGTGCCTTTTTGGAGTACCTGACACGGATGCAACATCATTTTTGGAGAGTCCAAGCACCATACTTGTACATTTTTATGATATATTATCATTAGCAAACTCAACCATGTCATTTCATCATTTTATTATGGATTTTCCCTGTGTTTATAGGGGGAAGGCACAGAAAGGGGTTATTTAACCATGGGAAAGAACTAGAGCCCTGAGGCATGGGGCAAAAGCTAGCTCCATGAATAACAACAACAACATACCAAATAAAATCCCCAAAAAGTTAGGTCTACAGAGAGTAGTATACACATACCTTACTACTACCTCGTGGAGGTAGACAAGCTAAATGAATAAAAAAAAGTAAAAAGCAATAAGGCGCAGAAAAGCTAGTAGAAATATCTAAGCATGTGAACAACTACAATATGATTTCTTCCTATTTGTTTAAACCTCCGTAGGCATAGTTATCACATACCTATGCTGGTAAAGTTTATGTGAATTTTCCATTTGTTACTTCTACAGTTTTCCTAGTACAATTAGTTGTTTAGTAAAAGGAATTTACTCCTTTATTACTTCAATATTTGGTTTATCAGTTGCAATGAGATTCTAATGCTTTAGTTGTCGGAAGAAAGAGATTCCATCCATATTTTCAACATTGCTGCTTGAATCTCTATCATAACAATTAGCAGGTAAGCTATGAAATAGTCGAGGTGCACACAAATTGAAGTGGAATACTCCTGGACTATTGGAAAAAAGAAAAATGGTTCTACTCAAACATAAGGTATATCTCATACTTCCATCCACTCTTCCCCTCAAATTAAAACTCTTGATGATTAAACATTTACATATTGCAGCCATATGCCTATTCTAGCATCATATTGCTTAGCTCCCATTTGGCCTGAGATTTGAACAGGTCCGAATTCGTACTAGCTCAGTTGATTGACTATTTGTACTTTCACCTTGTTGGTAAAGACTTGTAATCCCGTTCACCTACCCTCAATATTTTCAACTTGTTGGTGAGGGTTGTCCCCCTATGTTGCTCACACTCTTCAAAAATATCAATAGGTACATGTCGGATCCTCCAAAAAGAGTGTAATTTTAAAGGATCCAAAGCACGTGCACAACATTTCCGGAGAGTCCGAGCAACTTAGTAATGTCCCATGCCCTCAATTTGAAAGGAAAAATAAAGATTTGAACCAGTTTTGGGTGAAATTTTTCTTCCACTCACCTGGCTTCAAATTTTTTTCGAGTAAAATCATGTCCAAATACAACTTCAGTTTCAAAAACTATTTTCCTAACACAACTTCAACAACTCTTTGTTTTTTTTTCAAAGTATGACAAAATCTGCAGTCAAACTAGCTCAAAGAAAAAAAATATTTTTCTAAGGCAACTTCAAAAACTCTTTTTTATTCGTATTTCACAAAATCTATAGTCAAACGCTAGCTCGAAGAAAAACCAAACTTAAGATTATGAGAGGAGCTAACCTTTAGAGTAAAGTCATAGACAGATTCTGGCTTCTTCTCCGGTTGGCCGGCCATCCTCGTCGTCGTCGGAATTTGGTATTCTTAAAGTTTGAAATAAAAAGCCAAACTACAAAATATCCAACCACACAGTATCCACCTATATATATTAAGGCTAGATTGGTAGGAGTGATAATGTATAATTAATTTTGAAAATAAATTTGTCTCAAATCTAATTGGTACTCCCTCCGTTTTACAAAAAATGACCTCCTTTCCTTTTTAGTCAGTTTAAAAAAGAATGACCTCTTTTCTTTTTTGGTAACATTTTACTTTTTATTTTCCACGTGGCATGTTTAAGACCACAAGATTAAGGGCAATTTTGTACATTTGACATAACTTTAATTTAGGACCACAAGATTCAAAAGTCTTTTTTATTTACTTAAACTCCGTGCCAAGTCAAACCAGGTCATTCTTTATGAAACGGAGGGAGTATAAAATTGTGGAATAATTTATTTAGGAATTAATTATTTCAGAATTATTTTAATTTTTATATTAAAGGTAAAATAATAGTTCTTAGATAACTATTCTAAAAATGGTTATTATTTCTAACTAAACTAGCACTGACAAGGTAAGGAAACCTTGATATGCAAGTGATGGTATAACCAATTATTTAACTTTGTTTTACCAAAGTTGCATTACCCTTTTTGGTCTTGAACTCAACTAGAATATTCATGTGTTCCAATTCTGAGTTTGATTTGTCTATCTCAATTTGATTGGATGAAGTTTAAGAAAATAAAGAGGATTTTAAATTTAATGATCTTAAATTATATATATATATATATATATATATATATATATATTCAAAAGTTATCGAATTAATGAAGATACAATATTTTTTAAACAACCTAAAAAAATATATAAGACAAATAATTACGACACAGGAAGTAATAGTTTTGTTTTATAATCTTAAATAAATATTTATATAATAATAACAATAATAATAATCTATAAAGCTAATAAGCACAATTGTGTATATTGCATAACCGAGACCGAGACCGAGACCAG